TTGTTCTATCGCTTCCAATCTACAATATTCCCGAAAATCATGAGAAGTGAAAGCTGTACCCTGATCAGCGATAATTCTCCTGGGATTTCCAAAAATTGACGATTGTTTTTTCAAACGTTCTATCACTTCGGAGGTAGCTGTAGTCTTCGTGGCATACAGCCACACAAACTTCGAAAATGCATCCACAACTACAAAAATATGCTTATAAGTCTTTCGCGTAGATGGAAGTGGTCCAAGATGGTCAATATGATATGTGTCTAATGGCAGATTTCCCTTGTCAATAGAATGTAAAAATCCTTCCTGTCTCCCATGTTTCCTTTCAGCAAGAATACACGGAACACAATTACGCACCACTTTCTCTACTTTTGATTTTAAATCTGCGAACCAATAGTCTTTCCTAACTAGTGTCTCCGTTTTCGCACTCCCGATATGACCGTTCTCGTGTACACGTCGAATGATTTGCGATTGCATAATACGCGGCACTATTAATTTTACGTCACTCTCAATTTCTTTAAATAAAAGGCCATTCCGCACTACAAACCCACTTAACTGTTTTTCATTCACTGCTTCAACAATCGGTTTCAAACTCTCATCCTCACACTGCGCTTTACGTAACCTCACAATCATACTATCCTCACATTCGTCTACTAACATACACTTTGGAAGCGGATTCCGGCTTAACGCGTCTACATGTCTTAAACTATTTCTCGAACGGTGCTCTATTTTATAATTAAACTCCTCTAATAAAAGAGCCCATCTCGCAATTCGAACGCACAAATCTCTCTTACGCATCGTTAATGTAAACGCCTGACAATCTGTAACTGTTTTAAACGGTATACCTAACAAATATATTCTAAATTTTCGTAGGGCTTTAACTATTGCCAAAACCTCCAGCTCATAACTAATATATTTCGATTCTGCTGGTGTTGTTTTTCCGCTTGCAAAGTATACTGGATAAAATTTATTATCATTACTATCACGCTGTAGAAGAATCGCACCATAACCATACATTGAAGCATCAGTATGTAATTCCGTTTCCGCTTTTAATCTATATAATTTCAAAACTGGACCATTGCTCAAAATAGTTTTTAACCTCGTAAACGCTAATTTTTCCTCTTCCCCAAAATGAAAGTTAACGTTTGCTTTCAATAAGTTTGTTAACGGTCGCGCAATCACGGAATAATTTCGGATAAATTTCCTAAAGTAACCAGCCAAACCGCGTCTGCGAGCACGATTGCGGATTCGCTACAGAGTGTCGACGGCCTTACAACCCGTCACCCGAACGACGCTCAACACAGACGGTATGGGAAAATAGGCTTAAATTTATAGAAAAAATATGAAGGAGAAAAAAAGTTTTGTAAGTAACTTCGGAATAGAAGTAAAGATAAGAAAACATGAAATGTCACTCTAATTGTAAATTGAACGTTACATTCATGCTTTATTAGAAATTTTCATTTTTTTTTAACAGACTTCGAAAAGAGGGAGGTTACTATACAGGGTGTTCGGCCACCTATAGTAAAAATTTTAATGAGCGTTAGTAGAGGCAAAAATAAGACGAAAATCAAGAATACCAATTTGTTTATGGAGGCTTCGTTAAAAAGTTTTTAACGTTTAAAGTTCCGCTCGTACTGAATTTTTTTCTCGAAAATGCGCAAGATTTCGGGGATATGTCCATTCACCAAAAATTATTGTAATTGATCCCCGCAACCGAAAATAATTTTTCCAGAATGATTTGAAATTTTTAAATTTAATTATTAATAACTTTTTAACGAAGCCTCCATCAACTAATTGGTATTCTTGATGTTCGTCTTATTTTGGCCTCTAGAATCGCTCATGTAAATTTTTCCCAGGGGTGGCCGAACACTCTGTATATATTTTTTTTATTTTTTATTTTTATCTTTTTTTTTATGCATGCATGTATGTATGTACGTATGTCCAGCGGTTACGGCGAAACGGCTGGACCGATCGGAACGAAACGCATTGCATCTTGTAGAGTATGTCTCCCAGTTGGTCCCCCATAAAAAACATTTTGCATTTTTCACTCCATCAGATCTACCAAGTTCTCTTCCAATTTGTCTCATTGACTGTCCGCGACCGTACATTTCCCATGCACGGTTCTGCTCCTCCACGGATAATTTCGCACCACTTCCCATTGTTGTAGAATCAGAACTACGAGTGACGATATCGCAACGACAAAAGACGAGTGACGATATTGTAACGACAAAAGATGTTCGTCTATTTCCAGTCTGATTCTACAACAATGTTTTATTAAATGCGTGTTTTCGTTCCATCATTTTCACGACTATTTTTTGTGTTATTTGCATTTAGGCTTACAATCATAAACTCTACTTTCTACGAATTTACTTTGGATCTCTATTATTATATTATCGAAGCATTGTTAATCTGTAAAATTTCATAATGTCATTAAACCCAAAAAATATTTTAAAGTTATTATGCCTCACTTTCGAGGACCCAATGTACAATATAGAATCTAAAATAACAGATGAAGAAAGATCATTCGCTTCTCAACTTGCAGATTTGATCAAAGACGCTATTAATTTTGATATATGTAAAGAGACTTATGATACTTTGAATTATACTGATGCTAGTGTGATTCCTGATGCTGTTTTAGTTGAAGATAATACAGAAGATGTTTCGGAAGTTATGCAAGACGATACAAAATTTCGAGAAATTGTAGACATTGATTATAAGAAGAGGGTAATTGAATTTTGGCGATCTGGACAAAAGAAAAGAAGGAATATAGAATCAGTTAAAAACCGATTTAAGAAAGTTATAAATGTAACACAATTGTACCGATGCGAAGCACAAGTTGCTGAGGGTGGGTCAAGAACAGATAAATTGTTATATATCTCTCAATACGTTCTAGAACAATTTAACAGTGCATCTGATCGAAGCCTACCCATTCACGATTTAGATTTAAAGAGATGGGCCTTGAAAGCAAGAGAGGTAGTTCATTTGCCTTCTCAATTATTCACGGCTTCATCAAAATGGATATACAACTTTAAAATACAACATGGCATTGTTTTAAGAAAAATAAATAAATTCGTGACACAAACGCATATTTTAAATAAAGCAGAATTATTGGAACAATCTACCAATTATGTGAGTCAAGTTAAACTAGAGATAGGCTTGCTAGGGACAGCAAACGTTTACAATTCAGATCAGTCAGGGTTCAATTTGGAAACACATGCTGGTCGTACATTAGCCTCAAAGGGTTCTTTGAAAGTGGAGTGTCTTGCTCAATCTTTGAACTCCTTGACTCACAGTTATACAATACAACCTTTAATATCTGCCGATGGTACCCTGAAATCCCCGTTATTAATAGTTCTATAAGAAACAAGCGGCCGTTTCGGACCGATAATACAAAAGTCAATGTACAAAGCAGATAATATCCTCGTCTTCGCCACAAAATCTGGGAAATTGACATCCGACATTGTTATTAAATGGTTTGAAGATGTCTTCTTGCCTAATACTGGCAAGAAGTCTATTTTGTGTTTGGATTCTTGGTCAGGACAAACAGAAAAGAAATTTGAAATTATAGGCAAGGATAATAAAGAAGTAAAAATCCTTACAATTCCTGCGGGAACAGCTGGCTTCATTCAACCATTGGATGTCTACGTATTCAGACCGTGGAAAAACTTCCTGAAACAATTTTCGGACTTAATTCTCTTATACAATTATAATATTAACCTACATTTGAGGAATAACATCCTCAAAATTCAATCATTAATCCACACTCAATTTTCGTCACCCCGATTCCAAAATATGATTAAATATGCCTGGTGGAAAAGTGGATATATTCAAGAAAAACCATATAGATGTGAAACGCCTGTCGATTTCTGTTTAAAGAATTGCGGTACAGTCTGCAAAATCTGCAATAACATTGCAGTAATAAAATGTGCGTGGTGTACTAACTCTCTGTGTATGGAGCATTTTTTTGCCATAGAAGATACAGCTATTCCTCATTATTGTCATGAATATAAAGAATAATGCCAATTACCATGGAATTTATATTCATAGACATATGTGAAAAGAAATTATGAAATCGCCTTCACTGGCTGGATCTCGATCACACATCTTACCTTATTTGAATGAATAATCAACTTTTAATTTCTTTATTGATCGAATTATTACTACTCTTGCCTTAATTGGTTGAATCAATAAACAATTTTAAATTACAGAAGCTTGTTTCATTTACAAACCACCAACGCTCTGGCAATGAATGTAAAATTTTACGCTTTATCGATTCTCGGGGTGAAAAGCAAAATACTCCCTTTGATAAACGAAATGATTTTCAAATGACCTTGAAAATCGACCTCAAGGTCGATTTCAAGGACGCCATCAAGTGTATCACTTTAAACTGTACAACTCTGGATCTAGTACTTTTTACAGAAACTGTAACCTTTAAGAAATAATTAGCCACAAACGTTTCCATCTCCAGAGGTTGCGGGGTACTTTCTACCCCTAAAAAGCGTATTTAGTCGAAACAAAAAAACACGTATTTAATATTTTTCGGTGTTTAATAAGTACGTCAAATTTCATTCAAATCAGTGAGTATCAGTTGGGTAGGTTTACTTGTCAGTCTCACTTCATCACTGACGCGCTTATTAAAAAACTAGGACTTCCGTGTAGTACAACGAACATTAGAGTTTCGGGAATAGGAAATTTAGCACGTAACGTACAATATCAATCATGCGTAAAATTAACATCAAGATTCAATGGATTCACCACATTAATTTCATGTCTATTATTACCGAAAATAACCGGAAATATTCCAAGCACACACCATCGACTTATCTGCATTACCGATTCCTGCACATATCATGCTCGCGGACCCCCATTTCCATCAACCCGGGGAAATCGATATGATTATCGGAGCAGGTATGTTTTGGGACCTATTGTGCATCGGACGCCACTCTTTAGGACCGAACTACTCATCATTACAAAAGACACAGCTCGGGTGGATTATCATTAGTAATATGACTTGCGCACATCTTATAACACAAACACGAACCACGTGCCATGTTGTAACGAATCAACAGTTACATAATCAAATAGCGGATTTCTGGAAAATTGAACAATATATTGATGAAGGACGTCGCATCGACAAAAATCATTATTGCGAGAAACATTTCGTGTCAACTTCAATTCGGGATAACGACGGACGACACGTGCTTGCAATTCCCTTCAAGGAAGAGATTAACGATCTAGGACATTCGAGACAACAAGCAGAACGCCGACTACTTGCATTGGAACGAAGGTTGACCAAACAACCGCAGATTCAACAAGAATATATTGCCTTTATGAGGGAATATGAAGAACTTGGACACATGACAAAACTGAACGAGGAGCAACGTGAAGATGGATTCTATTTACCGCATTGCGCCATCATAAAGGAGAGCAGCAGCACCACAAAATTGTGCGTAGTTTTTGATGGATCCTCAAAAACTACAACTGGACTATCCCTGAACGATGTACAGATGGCTGGACCAGTGGTACAAGAGGATCTACTGTCGATTTTATTACGTTTCTGCAAACATCGGTATGTTCTGTCAGCAGATATCGCGAAAATGCATCGCCAAATACGCGTACGTAAGGAAGATCGTCGCTTCCAAAAAATAGTATGGCAAGAAAATAGTACCTTGCCAATTAAAACGTATGAATTAAATACTGTGACGTATGGGACAACATCCGCACCTTTCCTGGCGACCAGAACCCTGCAATGCATTGGAGAAATGTATGCAGAAGATTCTCCTGCCGCCAGTCCCATAATCTTGGAAGATTTCTACGTAGACGATCTTTTGACTGGCACGGACTGTTTAGAAGAAGCGATCAAATTAAAAAATGATGTATCATCTATCCTGGCAACATCGGGTTTTGAACTCCGGAAATGGGCAACGAACAAGTCGCGTATTTTGAATCCATCGGATGGAGTACAATCCCACGTACATATTACACCCGACAAGGATGTAAAAACGCTCAACTTCTCTGGGAATCGCAGACGGACATACTGCGATTTCTAGTGCAAAAACCATTTGAATATCGCATCACAAAACGAACAATATTATCGGACATTTCCTAGATTTTCGACCCCCTCGGACTGATTGGACCAGCTACTATTCAAGCCAAACTGTTATTACAAGAACTATGGCAGCTGCAATTTTTCTGGGATGAATCACTGCCCCAACATCTCCATTCACGATGGACAACATTTCGCGAGAAACTTGGGTCAATAAATAACATTATTATTCCTCGTCATGTATTAGCTGCAGAAGCTGAGAGAATTGAATTGCATGGGTTTTGTGACGCTTCCCAGAAGACCTACGGAGTCTGTCTCTATCTGCGGATTTTCAACAGCGGACAATGGACCACTGAGTTAATATGTGCAAAATCACGCGTAGCTCAATTAAAGATAATCACTCTCCCAAGATTAGAATTATGTGGAGCATTACTGCTGGCACGACTTACAAGAAAAGTGCGGTAAGCATTACGATTAACCTGCGACGAGTACTACTGGTGTGATTCTACGATCATGCTTGCATGGCTCAAATCATCACCCAGTAAATGGAAGACATTCGTTACCAACAGGACATCCGAAATCCAGGAACTATCTCGCGGAATTTGGATATATGTGCAATCAAAGGAAAATCCTGCGGACATCGTATCGCGTGGAGTCAACCCTTCGTCACTTGTTTCGGCAACCCTTTGGTGGAACGGACCTTCATGGCTAGAAAGGGACACAGCTACCTGGCCATCAATAGAACCACATGCAATTGAAACACCAGACGTTAACGAAGTACAGTGTGCATTCATTGCAGTAAGAAAGGAACATTTATTCGAACGATTTTCTTCATTCTCGCGACTCCTACGCACGATCACATATTGTCTACGGTTTGTAAAAAACTTAAGAATCCGTATTCATAATCGCATCAAAGTAGTGAATATGTCAGAAGGTAATACCAGTGTACACACGGGTTACCTTTCAGTAAAGGAATTGAAAGATACCGAAATCCGTCTTCTTCAAATTACACAATCAGATTGTTTTCTGGAGGAACTTAAGAAATTAAGGACTGGACAAGCGCTCCCAAAATCTAGTGCACTACGTTCTTTGAATCCATTTATAGATGAAACTGGACTGATCAGGGTGAGCGGTAGATTGAAAGAAGCCCAGCTTTCCTTTAATCAACGACATCCCGTCATACTGCCATCGAAACATCATCTCACAAAACTTCTAGTCGCACATGAACATTTAAAGTTATTGCACGCAGGCTGTCAAGCGACTCTATCGTCGTTACGCAGACGATATTGGCCGCTTTCAGGTAAAATTCTTACAAAAAACACAATACGAAATTGCGTTCGATGCTTCAGGACTAAACCCGTAACTCAAGAATACCTGATGGGGAATTTACCTGCTGTACGAATCACCCCAACGCGCCCATTTTCTGTATGCGGCGTGGATTATGCAGGCCCGGTATTCATAAAGGAAAAAATTCGTACGAGGGTCACATCGAAGACTTATTTGTGTATTTTGTCTGTTTCGTGACAAAGGCAATTCATTTAGAACTAGCTATAGATTTAAGTACCGATGCATTCTTAAATATCTTGCGACGATTTATTTCCCGCCGAGGACTATGCCACAGTCTATACTCCGACAATGGAACCAATTTCATCGGCGCGCGCAACGAACTTCTCGAATTAGGCACACTTTTAAGGGACAGTAAACACAATAAATGGGTAACCAAATTTTTAAGTGATAATCAAATTGAATGGCACTTAATTCCGCCTCGCGCTCCTCATTTTGGTGGACTATGGGAAGGAGCAGTAAAGGCCACGAAATTCCATTTGAAGCGAGTTATCGGTGATACGAAACTTACGTACGAAGAATTGTATACGCTGTTAACACAAGTAGAGGCATGTTTGAACTCCCGACCCCTATATCCTTTATCCGACGATCCTACTGATCTATCTCCATTGACACCTGGACATTTCCTTATTGGTGACACGTTGAATGCACTCCTTGGCCCTGATATTCGACACATCCCAGAAAATCGACTTAATCGCTACCAGCTAGGCATGTGCGAGACCCCGAAATATCGAGTCGGGTCGAGAACACGAAATTTTTTCGGGATTGGGTCGGGTTCCCGACAGTTTCGAGACTTTTAAATTTTCGGGATTCCCGAAAAAAGTCGGGATTCTCAAAGGAGTCGGGCATCTCGAAAGAGTCGGGATTCTCGAAATAATCGAGATTCCCGAAAGAATCGGTATTTCCGAAATTTCCGAGAGCCACTAGTCAGTTATATTCGTTTTAATGTATACAGGGTGAGTCTCCTAACATGACAACCTCAAATAACTCGTAAGGTATTCGTTGTACGAAAAACTGTTTGAAACAAAAGTTGCATGGTATCTAGAGCTACATACAGTGCTCTAATCTGTTTTTTATTAACTTATTTTTTTATTGAGATATTAGGGTCTGGGCTAGGTCTGGGTTATTTAAGGTCGTCATGTTAGGAGACTCACTCTGTATAACAGCTTCTTGCCCGTATGCTACTGAATAATAATAATAATAATAATATATTCATGATTTTGAATTGCTTATTCTAGGTGTCTGTGACAAATTATGTTATTTTAATTTTTACTTATTCAATTTATAGTTATAGAATTATACGATTCGTGGAATAGGAATAGTACACAAATAAGTAGAAGTATAATTATTTATTCCAAGTTTTCATGCAAAAAAGCCATTTTTTCGACATTTTCTGTCAGCAATCTTGTTCGGTTCGATGTTACAATATTTCCAACCGTGGAAAATAGTCGTTCACTAGTTGCTTGAGTTGCGGGTACACCTATGTATCGTCGTGCCGCCTTTGCTAATATTGGCAATCTTCTGCAATTTTCTTTCCACCAGTCTGAAATACTATTATTTCGAGAAATATTGTTTTCTTCAAAATATATTTTTATTTCTTTTTCTTTAAGTTCATCATAACTCTCTACCCGATTTGTAGCGACTCTTTCGTTGCCAAGCTTATCATCAAAAAATTTGAAAAGCTTCGATTTTGGTTCCCCTATAATATATTTATAAACTCATATAAATTTGAAAATTCTAAAGTTATTAGTTTATAAACAATTTTGTTTATGTTACCATCATCTTTATATTTTTCAATTAATTCATCGCCATTGTTATTATAATCTGTATCTTCTTCAGATGTGATGCTCTTTTTCAAGCTATTAATTGCTTCGTGTCTTTGTTCATTTGGTAACAGCCGATCTTTGAAACGTGGATCTAGTAACATTGCTTCTACTAAAATATTACCTTTTACAATGGGCTCAAAACGTTCCTGCAAGTATATTATATTTTCTATAATTTAAATATCATTTTGTTGATAATCTTTTTTTAGTTCAATATAAAAATAATAAAATTACTTTTAATTTGTTATACAAACGTTGGCATATTTCTTTTAACATTTCGCCCTGCGTATTGTATGTTGAATATATGTCAGTTAATGCAATATACATTGGAATATAATGTGATAAAGTAGGATACTTTTCACCGCACATGAAATCCGTGGCATCTTTCATCGGTTCAAGTACATCTGCCATACATTCTGCGAACTTCCACTCTTCACTGTGTTACGACGAGAAAAAAATTACAATTTATTCTGTGTTGCAGCGTAACAGTAAATTCATAAAGCCAGCGGATGTAGAGTCAGACCTTTCAAACAATCAAGTTTTGCCTATAATCAAGTGCCATTAAGATGGTTATTTAATTATTAAACTCATTCATATCTGCATGACCCTCCAAATCCCGGCGTTCTATGACATTACTACCTGCAATAACATCGAAAACCAGTGCCAGATGTTTTATGGCGAGTCAGGTATCGCAAGAAATATCTGGGCACCAAGCGCTGACCTGGGCCCGTCGCCGCCTCGCGGAAAAACCCAGACGAGGGAAAATTATTAAAAATAACAGTTACATGCCGCCTCCCACCGATCAACTTCGCCAGCCAACTGATTGGCCAGTATATTTGCACTATTTGACCAATCTTAGACCGATGCTGCCTCCCATGGCCTTAGGTACGCCCATGGCGAGGTTAGCTGCTTGGGCAACCTTAGCCCAGAGAGCAGATCAGAATTAACTCTAAACCATCAATCATCACTAGTATTTCAAGACTGTATACATTTCGGCTATCTGACTTAGAATAAATAGTTATTGCTTGTTACCAATTCCACTGATTGTGATTGAAGTTTTTTACCTTCCGTATCCCACAACTATTCACTCGTCATTAACGTTGACGTGTGAAGCTGAGCATATTAGAAAGCTTCTTTCAACAAATTAAATTATTTTGCTCAACCCCTCAACACATTGGATAAATTATCCGGCATCTTTTCTTCGCATAAAATTAAAGTCAATGGTTTTCGTAAAGTTATTAATCTTTTTATCATTATGTACATACTATTCCACCTTGTATCCACGTCTTGCATTAATTTTAATGGCGTTTCGTTAGGATTTAATTCTAATTGCACTTTAAAAAATCTTTCTTTCGCAGAAGTAGATTTTGCGAAAAAAGAAACAATATTTCTGCATTTTTTATTGACGTTCATGTACATGGGAAATTTTTTCAATGCATTTTTTATTGCCAGTTGCAAACAATGTGCAAAGTACGGTATTCTTGACTAATCATTGCATGTATTAATAGCCTTTACAATATTTTTACCGTTATCGGTTACAAATATTAGAGGTTTGTTAGCTCTGTCTAATTTACATGTACTTAAACACAATAATATCTGATTTTTAATATTTTCAGCAGTATGCGATTCTTGCAAATGGCATAAATTTAACATATAATTGCAGATTTTAAAGTCTTTTGTTGCATAGTGCACTGTTAATGATAGATAACTATCAACGCTTCGTGACGTCCACCCGTCCGTTGTGAATGCTAATACGGTATCTATCAATTTCATAAAATACAGATCACAAAAATGAAGAACTTAACAATAATAAATGTAAGAAAAAATAATAATAATT